CAAGCCATTCGCACGTGAGTGGGTGTGCATGTGCTAACTGTGGTCACAGGCATCCTATTGGCATGTGTGAACAGCTAGGGGAAAGGAGTTCATACATCACTAGCACCAACCCCACCAACAAAGTCGGCTCCGCCTGTCAGGTTCCAAAAGAATATGACTTAACTGTATTTGAATAAATGTAGATTGTTGTATTATACTTAATAAAAAATAAGACATCCCCTGAAAATAAGCCCTAGTGTGTCTTCTTGAGAAAAAATAAATATAAGATAGTATCTTATTTTGGGGGAAACACAGTATATACTAGTGAAATATAGCTATATCTACACCAGTGATTTTCAACTGGTGTGTCATGAGAGGATCTTACTGTGCTACGAAAATTTTTAAACATCATTAATTCAATTATTTTCAAAAGAAGTTCCAAGCATAGTAAGTATATATATTTTTTAACCCTGTTCTTTTTTGATCAACATGATTTAAGTGTGCCACGGAAGTTGAACTATAGATTCAAGTGTGCCATGAAATAAAAAAGGTTGAAAAACACTGGGGTATACATATTCATATAGTGTATATGGATATACACTATATACACATAAACATTTACACAGTGTGTGTATATCCATATACATGTATCTATATAGAGAGATGGCTTATCTACATGGAGATACGGTATATCTATATATTCACTCCCTAGTATATAGCAATGGAAATATTCAACATAAGGAAATAAAGAAATAATATATATCAGTATATATATGTTTATATACACTTTACATTATATATAATATTTTATGTGTAATGAGCATATATATTTACATAGTTGTTATGTATATATCAAGCATTAAGTAGACACTTGATATTTGTGATTCATTTTTTAGGAATCTCCAAATCTGTGCCTATGGACACCTTATACATTTCTAGCTTTCCCCTGAATCATCTTTTTTGCTTAAAGTGACTTCTTTTCGGACTATAAAACCCTACACCTCAAATCAGAAATCACTTATGTTTTCAGGAGAATTTTCAATGGCTTTGGCAGCTCTGCAGGGTCAAAGTGTGTGACATACCTCTTGGAGGTGGGACACAATTATAAGAGGGACTTTACCTAACACATGGAATCAGTGTAATCTGGTTCTTTGTACCCTCAATGAATCCCCAACAATAAAAAAGAAATTTTGCTTGAAAATAGAAGCAAGAAACAAACAAAAAAAGTTATGGTATGAAAGTAAGGCGATTCATGATGGTTACTAAAGAATAACGAAGGGCAAACAAGAGGCACGTGCTGGGTGGACTGGGAGAGTGAGGCAGGCCTGCTACTCAGTACCAGCTTGGGAGCAGCTTCCACACATCAGCCTGAGTTGATGTTTTAATTGTTGATTTCAGGTGCATCTGTAATACTACATGACTCAGATCTTTATGTTGCCCCCAACCAAATATTGCCCAGAGGTGGCTCTAAAGCTAATAATATTTAAGGACTCAAACCTGTGTTGTCAGGTTTCTTTAACTCAAGCTTAAACAAGATAATTCATATCTTATCTCACATTGTCATTGGTTCACTCTTCAGTAATAAATGAAATACTAATCAATAAATGAGATACTCAATTACAAGTCGGTAAGATATGAATTATCTTGCTTAAGTTTGAGAGATAAAGAAACTGACAACACCTTGATTCCTTAAATATTATTAACCACAGAACCTCTGCTCGAATAACAAAGCTTATGGTAAAGTTCTCCACTGTCAGATTTTAACATGGGGAATTCCCACTGCAAATTTACACTTGATTTTTCCAATTAAAATGGGCTGGTGAGTCCCCTGCCCCTAGCCATTGGCTTGATAAAAAGTATCTTCATTTGCGGCAAGTGTGTTTAGGGAACCCAGTGCAGGGCTGATTCTTCTGCTGTTGCTTTGAGCCCAGCTGTGCTGAAATATTAAACTTTAGTAAATTAGGTGAAATTGCAGCTTCCTGGCTGATACAATAATGCCTTTTTCTTCTGCAAACCATCTTCGGCATGAGTTGTCTGCACAATTCCTCCACACTACCAGAAACAAAATTCAAGACAACCCTTCTATTTTTCCAGATAATTGTGCCACATCCTATTTATTTCACAGAGGGGTTAAACTTTCAAATACGTAGCATTGGATTATTATATTATTTTAACACTGTCTGAATATAGCATCACATTATTATACTTAGATGAAGCAAGTGCATCCCTGAAAATGTGAGCCTTGTGTAAAAGTAGCAGCCTTTTTATTTTTTGATTAGTCCTTATTTTAACAGCAATGGCAAGCTATAGAAGGGAAGAATATTTTCAGTCACATTTATTTTTAGTTTTTTGCTCCCTTTTCTAAGAATAGCACTAGTTCTGAAGTGTTTTTATTCATTGACCAAATATTTATTGATCAATTACTATGTGCAAAGTTCTGGTTTATTTTCAACCAAATATTTTTAGAACAAATGCAGAATTAGCAGAAAGGAACTAAGCAGCCTTATATCTCTCTCCTTGATATATGCTATTTTTCTTGTGACAAAACCACTGGTGACAGCTTTATTTAGCTGCCTGGCCTACTTGTTCCCCAAAGGCGCTCACTTTGGCCTCTTTTAGGTTAAGAACTTATGCTTCTAGGAGACTTCAGTTGAAACATAAATATTTTTCTTACTTGGGAAAGTTAACTCATTAAAGCATTTTCAAAGTTTACCAAGGTGTCCAACCTTTTTTTTTCCTATTGCATAGTGGAGCAGAGTTGTCTTGGGCCACACGTTAAATACACAAACACTAATGGAAGCTGATTAGCAAAAAAAAAAAAAAGGTCTGTGTCTACTCAAAGATAGTCCTTGCAAAATCAGCATGTGGGCTGTGGGTCACTGATAGAACACCCCTAGTTTAAGCCTTTCTAAAGTATCTCTATCAAGGTAGCTTTTGGAAAAAATCTCGCATCTTTTCAAAAATAGAGCAGATAGTCTAATGAGCTTCATATAATCACTTATGGGGTTAAAACTTAGACAGGTTGCTCAGTGGGGGCTTGGGCATTCAGTGGGCCATGTGTAGATAAGAAGGCTTAGTGCTGAAAGGGTTGAGACCCACTTCTACACTTCCAAATTGCAGAACCAGATTATATCACATTGTCATTGGTTCACTCTCTCTCCAGTGATAAATTAGATACTAACCAGCATGATTTAGACCTGGGTCTGTGTTTCAGCTACAATAACAAAAATACCGTAGACTGGATGAATGAAACAACAGAAAGTGACTTCTTACAGTTATGCATGGTAAAATGTCTGAGATCAGGGTGTCAGCATGGTGAGGTCGTGCAAGGACCTTCTTCCTGGTTGGCAAATAATTGTTCATTTTCTCTTTACTGTTCTCATCTTGCAGAGAGCAGAGAGAGAAGGGCAACGTCCCTCCTGCCTCTCATATGAGCACTAATTCCATCAAGAGTTTCCTACCCTCATAACCTAATCACCTCCCAAAGGCTTAACTTCCGAATACCACCACATCACATTAGGATTAGGGTTTCAACCTACAAAGAATTTTTTTGGGGGGTGGGGGGAGAGACAAAAACTCAGATATGGTATAGCGGTATAGCAGGGTTAAAAGGAAAAATCTTAGATAATTTAAATTTAGCTGAGTTTATTTGAGCAAAGAATTTACAAATTGGGCAGCATTCATAATCTTACGAGGTTGAGAGAACTCCGCCCAGCATCAGGAACAGGGAGCTTTCATAGGTAGAATACAGAGCACAGAGAAACCACCTGATTGGTGGTAGCTTGGCTCTTGCCTTATTTGGGCACTAAGTGATGAGGCCTTTGCCTAATTTGCCTAATTTGGGACGTAGCATAATGAGTTCGTTGAGTATGATTGGCCTAGACGCAGCTATTTGTTAGCGTTAACGTTATGTTTTGGTTTGTTAGGTAGAAACTCCAAGTACAGAGACAGCCTCAGCCTTCTTATTAAACAGCACTGTGCAGCTTTTTCTGGAAAGTGTCAGATGGGAACTATTGTAGGCTTTGTGGGCTATACCATATCTGTCACCACTACTCAATTCTTCCCCTGCAGGGCAAAAGCAGCCACAGGTCATACAGCCATATGGAGTTACAGGTAACACAAAGGCACAGGCATGGAGATATTCCAACAGAACTATTTACAAAAACACGCAGGAGTGGAATTAACATGCAGGGGATAATTTGCCCACCCCTAAATATTTCCCAGTCCCTGGGATCAATTCACTGTCATCTTGAAATCAGGGTTTAAGTAGGCTGAGATTCCTATTTCCCTTCACTGTCAGTGATCCACCTAGTAGCTCCCTGGTCGCCGGCAGTCTTCATGCGAGGGAGGCTCCAGTGGAGCGATTCCACAGTTCTGAAAGTTTTAGAAATGGGCCCTTCATCCTGTCCCCCTTCCGCCCCTCTGAGCCCTAGCGCTCAGCAGACCGAGTGGCAGTTTGGTTGACTGACTGGGTGGGCTGCCTTGGCTTCCCAGGAGACACGCGGCCACTCAGGACAAGGTGAGGGCGCAGAAAAGTTGGAGCCCAATCAGCATGGACTTGAGCTCCCGCGCCCCAACCTTCAGGTGACCCCGCGCGGCGGCGGCGGTGGCAGCGGCGGCGGCGGCTGCGACCAGAGCCCGCAGCAGCTCGTAGCGCCTCCGGGAGGCCAGGTGGCGAGCCGCGCGCAGCGTCATCCGCTAGCCGAGCGCCGGGCTCCGAGCTCCGCGGGCCGAGGCTGGGTGGGAGCGGGGAGCGCGCTGGGACGCCGCCGCCGCTTCCTCCGCCCGCGGAGACCGCGCGGGCTGCGCTGGCTGGGGCGCCCCGGGTGTGCGGGCCCTCGCCGCGCACTGTCGTCGCCCCTCGCAGCCGCCCGTGAACC